TATCTTAGAATACTCTTGTGCAATCTGACATCTTTTAACTTTTATTATTTATTCCGTGTTAATTATAAAACTTTATCGTAACATTATTTTTACGCGATTTCAGATTGCCATCATTTTGGTGGCAGTGGCCACCCAGGTTATATGCGCGGAGGATTCGAGGAAGGCGGAAAAGAGCTCGCAGAATGTCGAAGCGGCGGCAACGGAAAAGAAAACGGAAAAACGTGGTCTACAGCATAGTTTTGGTGACATAGGTGGTGGCGGCGGCGGTTACGATTTACACGGTGGCGGCGGCGGCGGCGGCGGTTACGATTTACACGGTGGCGGCGGCGGCGGCGGCGGCGGTGGTGGTGGCGGTGGCTTTAGTTACGATCATGAGCATGTGAAGACGGTGACGGTTGTAAAGAAAGTGCCGGTACCGTACGAAGTAACGAAGCACGTACCCTATCTGGTGGAGAAGCACGTACCGTACGAGGTGAAGGTCGGCGTGCCGCAGCCCTACACCGTCGAGAAGCATGTGCCCTATCCCGTGAAGGTGTTCGTCAAAGTGCCGGTCCACGTGCCGCAGCCGTACACCGTCGAGAAGAAGGTGCCGTACGAAGTGAAGGTGCCGGTGGATAAGCCTTACGAGGTCAAGGTATACGTGCCGCAGCCCTACACCGTGGAGAAGCACATACCGGTGCCGGTGAAGGTGCCGGTGCCGCAGCCCTACACCGTCGAAAAGCACGTGCCCTTCCCGGTGAAGGTGAAGGTGCCGGTGCCGCAGCCGTACCCGGTGGAGAAGCCGGTGCCCTACGAGGTGAAGGTGCCGGTGGACAAGCCGTACCCGGTCCACGTGCCGAAACCGTATCCGGTCACCGTGGAGAAACCGTACCCGGTGCCGGTCGAGAAGCCGATACCGTACGAGGTGAAGGTGCCAGTTGACAAGCCGTACCCGGTGCCGGTGGAGAAACCATACGCGGTGCCGATCAAGGTGCCGGTGCCGCAACCGTACCACGTTCACAAACCGGTGCCGGTGACGGTGGAGAAACCATACGCGGTGCCGATCAAGGTGCCGGTTGACAAGCCGTACATCGTCGAGAAGGAGGTCCCGGTCCCGGTCGAGAAGGAAGTGCCGGTGCCGGTTAAGGTTCCGGTGCACATACCCATTCACATACCGAAGCATCACGACGGTGGCGATTACGGCGGCGGTGATCTAGGAGGTTACGGCGGCGGCGATGGAGGCGGTTACGACTTCCACGGTGGCGGCGGCGGCGGCGGCGGTGGTGGCGGTTACGATTTTCACGGCTGATCCACGCGACGACGAAGCGCGGAGCGGAGCGCGTGAAACGAAACATCGAGAAGCGTTTTTTTATTTACTTGAAAAGACGGCCTCTCTCTCTCTCTCTCGATGTTGAATAATCGCGTGTTTCTCTCCGAATCGGGATACTTTTCGCCGGATTAGTATATACCAATTCCTCGAGAAGTAAATCTCTCGAGATCTGTATGAAATTCTAGCTGCTTAAGCAAAGATCTTTGTTCTGAGATTATTAGCGAATTAGGAGAAATATGCAGGTGACGATTAGCTGTCGCGATTGACGTGTTTACCGACGTTATTCTTGTATTATATTTCCGAAAATCTCCAGGTAAACGTATAGCGGTTATCCGGCACTCTTAGACTGCGTATTACGATAAGTTATAAGCGGAATCGATTGTGCTCCCCGCGGTGACGAATTGCGCACATATAATAAATTAACACGTCCGAAGCCTAAATAAACGTTCTGCATACTACTCTTCTAAGGTCCCTAAAAAGATACACATGTATACGTGCGGATTTCAGCGCACATCATTGGCTTAACCGTTCGCGGCAATCCGTTATGTCCACGCGTAGTATTGCTGTGAGAGTATTACTATACCATACTTAGAAACGTTGTACCTAAGTAAGTTAAGTGAAGAAAAAAAAAACTCATTGTGAAAAGAATATACGTATCTTTTTATATCAAAGCTTTAATAAATGCTCTGCCCATTACACCAACACTTTTCTCGATCCTAATATCTTAATAGCAGATCTAAAATACCTGGATATCTCTTATCGCACGAAAATAAGATGGAACGCATGATAATGCGGGGAGATAATACATCGTCCGTTACGGTGTATGACGCGCAGAATCGTGCTAACCATATCAAATGTTGTTGCGCGTACACATCAGCGAGAGAGTATAAATCAACGTCAAGATTTACTTTCTCGAGAAAATTTCGTCGACTGTCGAGCGAGAGAGTTTCACTCTCTTCTAAATTCATTGTTCCCGCCTGCGAAGAAACGCGCGATATTATTCGAGCATTGACATAAATGAAAAAGAAAGGGAAAAAAAAGAAGTTTCGCCGCAGAGTCCAAAAAATACGAAGTCAAGAAATCGCTCGTAAATTACGCAGGCGACGCTTTCCGCGTTTGCCTTCCGGTCTAGCGAGCACGGTAAAAGCCGCGACATATTATTAATGTTGGTTCGAGAGATCGTTAAGTCCCTCCGATCGGCGCAAAAAACGCAAAAATCAAACAGGCGCAAAAAGGCGGAAAGGAAGGTGAGGCGTGTGTATATCCGAGTCGCGAGACAGAAGCTGCGCCAACTTCCGCAAACACTTTCGATTCCCGCGCGAGAATCTTAATCCGTGTATACCCGGGCCGCAATTAAGAGCACTAGATACACGCGCGTTCAGGAAAGCACTTACTTTCTCCGTCGGGGCCATCGAGCCTGGCCCGATACACACGTAAAACACGTCATACTCCGACGCGTGTCTACGAGACACATCTGAGTGGTATCTCGCCACTCCTTTCACTCCGAGTCGATCTTTCCCGATTTCGAAGTTCGACAGGGAGACTCTTTTTTGCTGGCTTTCAAGTATATACGTCAAGTATATGCGAGAAACGTCACGTAATATAATTTATAATATATTATTTCGTGAACCTCGAGCGTCCGGCATTAAACACGTATACGTGCTGTTTAAGCCGCTAATTAATATATATTCATTAAAATAATATTCATTAAAAATTAATTCGTTTAATTCGATAGAGCGGATATTCCGCCCATAGAGGGAAAGATAAAAATATTTCTGGTGAAATTGGGTCGGCCACATTAACGAACGAATTTCCTGTTTCGTTACACAGGACGGACAGCCGGCTTTACCCGGGGTTTCCTATCGATATTATCAGTCGCCGCCGCTGCGCCGCGGCGGCGTAATTGAAATTCGCGGCGCGCAATTAAATACGAATAAAGATTAAGATATCCGTTGTGCGCTATATCTAAAAACCCGACGGAGAAAACGTTTCACCGCTTCTCTCGAGGGGCGAGGGGGGGGAGGGCACACTCGTTTAGCCACTAATAAAATCTGGGTTCCGTGTCTGTTTATACGTGGCAAAAAATTACGGGAAACCGCTGCGGTATTATCGAACATGGGAGAAATCGATAATGACGCAACACGCAGAAGATCGCAGCGTAGAATCCGTCCATCTCCCCGCTCCCTTATCCTCCTCGCCTCGTCGTTAAGTGCAATTTATAATATCGGATGTACTTGGGTAGCACATTATTAGAACACGTAACGAGCTAACGACAGGATTAGTTAGTGGTCGGTCGATGAAACGATCGCAATACGCTCGCGAGTACGCGACCGTATAGCGTTACATATAACATATGAGCGCGATCGGTGTGTGCACAGGCGACGTAAAGTACTTGTGTATAACGCGCCGCGGCCGCCGCGATGCAACGCCGAGCCGAGGAGAGAGACCGCCGCGCGTTCACGTTTCGTTGGGCGAACGACCGGCTCTCTGTGAAAGTGAAAAAAATGACGACGATTCTGCGATGCGTGAATTATAGCCCCGCGCGTTGTATGTACAGGTATATCAGAGCTCTTTCCTACGCCGAGATGCCGCGCGCCACTTCCGGTTTTCTATCGGCGCTCTTCGGTAATAATAAGGAAGAAAGTTTTCTGCTGCACGTCGCCGCTGCCTTTGCGTTTCGTATTTCGTTTCATCTATAAAAGGACGCATGTTGTTTCCGGACTGATTTGCATAATCACGATTTCGTAATTGTTTCGACGTATTGCAATATATCTAAAAGGATTGTTTCAAAAGTAAAATTTTGCCTAATAGCTTTCCGATAATAATAATTGTCTATATTGTTTAATGCGTGCATTTATGTGGAAAATTATCTGTTTAATTTTAACGAAATTAATAACTTCTTCCGATGGAGCTACAGCTCAAATCAAGCCTTGGCTTCCTCTTAAGAAAAAATAAAAGATAGAAGAAAATAATTCAGATCGTTTAGTGATCTCGAGCTTTGATAGCAATGATACCAAAAAATGATCTCAATTATTTTTTTTATCTTTCATCTGAAGAGGTTTTTCTTGGCAAAGAGATACTCTCGGTGGTTTGCTGTATATTATGCCTTCCGAGAGGCGGCGATCGCTTCCGGATCGATTAAAATCGATTTCAGAATTATATTATTCTGTGGTTGATTTAAACCCGGATTCTTAACATATAAAACTGCCGCGCTGCTCCTCGCGCGACGATCGCCACGAAATTAATAACAATTGTCCGACATCTTGAATTTTATTCGCTCTACATTTTTTCACTCCGGTCGTGTTTAGCAAAAAGACGATGCTTTCCGGCTTTCCGGTGACACAAGGAAAGTCCAATCGCGTAAACTAAATTTCTGCACCATTATCTACTTCCACTCACCGACGTTCCAACCCCGTTCCAGGTTTATTCGCGGAAGGAAGGAAGGAAGGAAGGTAAAGGGGCGGGGTCCCTCTTATCCGTCGTCGCCGCGGCGGGTGTCGGTGGCGCGACTGTGAAGCGAAGGCAATTATCGTAGCGAAACTTGAACGTTGGCAACGCGCCCCGAGAACGACGGGCTTTCGGCTTCGATGTGTGGGAGTGAGTGTTTGGCGTCTGATACGACGGGTCAGGTCCCCGGGGATTCTCAGGGACTCAAACGGGACTATCCCGCCGCCTCTCTCTCTCATCACAGTTAATTACCAGTCCGCGCGCTTCGAGAGTCGGTCTCTCTTTCTCACTCCGTTTACCTTAGTCCCTTAGTCCTCCTCGAACCCATATCGCTTCCGCCGAGCGATCCACCCTCAATAATCCACGACCGTACCGTTTCCTACTGTTCTGGAATCTTTTTTTTCCAGCGAAAGTAATTTAGCAAAACACACGGTCGATTGTTTACCGCATTTTGCGGCGGAGAATCAATTCCTTCTTCTTTTTTTTTGTAAATGATCTTGCGTATATTAAAGAGATTATTTTTGATATTTAAAAAATTGTTTTTCCATCGTTAAGAAAAAAAAATACACACATATATATATATATAATCTTTAAAATGATTAATTTATCTTTTAATCAGTACTGCTGCAAAGTACTCTCGAATCGTAATAAAGGTTTCTATCCAATTATTATTACTTTCCCTGCATTAAGCGCGCTCGGGAGATACGAATCTTACACACGAGGCACGTTTCTTAACGCGATGAAAAATACCGTACGGATATCTGAGTGGCCTTTTTTCATACGGATTTCATAACGGATTCGAATTCGTGCGGAATACAGGATGGGCGCAGGCACGGACGGGACAAAAAAAAAAGTAGATTCGTACACACCTTTTAGCGGTGTCACACGTATAGACATTTTAAGAGTTACGTGCAATCAATAGGCGACAGGGAAACCCCCGTGGGAATCCAAGCGAGCGAATCGTAGCGGGATTGAACGCTTGAAATGGAATAATATCCAATAATCTGGCAGCCGAGAGAACGGGATAAAAAGGGACGTTTTATCGGGGCATCGCAGCATCCAACCAAGCGGTATCCGACCATTTCCGCCAAGCTCTCGGAGCCATTTCGCCCCGTTCTCGGCATAGCTGGCAAAATTAATTATTGATTTCGGATACGCGCATTCAGTCGCGGCGGGCAGCTTTTAATCGAAAACGAGCCATCCGTCGCACACCCATTTCCGACCGCTACGAATTTAACAAACGGATCGATCTGGAAATGCCTATTGTGTCACACTATCACTGCCCGCTCGTGGCAAAAAAATCTCCGACTATTCGCGGTTATTCGTTTCAATTCTTTTTACGATAATTTTCGAGGTACTCGACATATGGGTGGAAATTAAATATTTCATTAAAAAATTTAATTTTAACAAATTAATACGAAATAATAAATTAAATAATTCAATCGCAGTATAACTGTTTTATAGAAATATATAAATAACACACGTGCGTTAAATTATATATTAATTTGTTAATATATATTAATGTATATAAATTCTCAAATTAAAGTTTATTTTATATTCATCTGAATAGTATGTATCAATATTCGGGTTGGCAAAATAATAAAACAGGAAGATGAAACAATGTTAATGAAATAAAAATACGTACAGGAATGGAAAGATAAGGAACGTAGGAGCATCTGGAGAAAGGCATCTAGACCAGCTTTATCCTTTAAAGGAGGTAGAGGGCTGGGACAGAGGACTTGGCAACAGGTTACCAGCTGCTGGTCTTGTGAGATTTTCTTCCGACGTGGCGTTGGAGTCTATTAGCTAAATAAAATAAATTGGAAACAAAATTTATATTTTATGTACATGTGTGTTGGAAATATAAGTCTTACTTCTTGAGCATTTTTTTTTAAATTTCATTTTTTTAACAACAGAATTTTTTATCAATTCGAAATCAACATTTTCTTATTAATTAGTAGAAATGTCGATTTGTACAATATATACATGCGTATATGTATATAATATATACACATATATATATTGATTAAACTTCATTTTTATACATAGATTTTATAAAAAAAATAAACAAAAATAACTGAGGGAACCATATTAAAGGAATGCAACGTGAAAAGGCAACGTGAAAAGGTTATAAATTCCACTCCATGTTTCTTTTTTCTTAATATTTTCTCTTTAAAGACGATAAATGAAAATATTAAATATACAGACGTAAGGTATTTGCTCCTGTGGAAAGTGGAGATATAATTTACATTATTACACGCTATTCCATTAAGAAATTTGTTTTTTTTTTCTCCGCGATCTAGTGTAGTAAGACTGTCCGTTATAATTTCGCACGTGTGTACCCATATAGCTTTTAAGCAATATCTTTGATCACCTCTTGTAATTCCGCCTTGCTAAACATGTGAAACAATTGTCCGGGCGTCATTGTCATCACTTCGATATTGGTGTCGTTCAGTTTTTCTTCCATCACCTGCTTCAATATCGTCAGCGCAGCTTTCGACGCTTCCTTGAGCGTCATGGACTGCAACAACGATATTAATTTAGTACTTAATATCGATAAATATTGTTTAAGTCGATGGTAACAAGGCAAATTACCTTATGATATACTTCTTGAAGATTTTGTTGAGCTCCCTCGCTACCAGATCCTATGGCCTTAGCATCAAACTGAACAAAAGTGCCAGACGGGTCCATGTGATACAGCTGTGGGCCTTTCTCGTCGATCCCCGCAAACAGCATTGCTACGCCAAACGGTCTCGACATGGCAGTGCCGTCGTCGTCGCTGTCTCCGAACTGTATAGCTAAATTGGACACCGCCTGAGCGGTCGACTCCACCGTCATCCTCTCGTTGTAGACGAACCAATGATTCTGGCATTCGACTCGAGCCCTCTCGATCATCGTCCGCGAATCGGCCATCAAACCGGACGCGGCGCAGCCTATATGTCTATCAATTTCTACAATTTTTTCTACGGTCGTCGGTTCCATTAAAGAAGAAGTGATACGTTTCTCCACCGCCAGAATGACTCCCTCCGTTGTTGCGATTCCAATGGCGGTGGAGCCGAGCTTTATGGCTTCTATGGCGTACTCGACTTGAAATAATCTTCCCTCCGGCGAGAAGGTGTTCACTCCACGATCGTACTCGGAACGTGTTAGAAACATCTTGAAACAGATAAAAGATTCACAGGTTAGACATAGGTGACATTAGTATATGACAAATTGTTGCCCTTAACTACTTTATATTTCAATTCTCTGTTCTAAATCATCGAGAAAGTAATGTAAAATTGAAATTGGAGCTCGACGATCGTCCTGTAGAAATCAAGTTTGAGGTTAAGCGCGAGCAAAGATGACACAAATAAATTCAATAAAGTTACCGAACGTCAATATCTATTATTATGCGCAATTATAATACACGAAAGAGCATTTGGATATCGATAGAAGCGGATAAAAGCTCAAACTGACAGAATAACAAACCGAGTGAGTAGTCGGTTAACAAAGAATGACATGGCAAAACGAAATCGAGTGTTCCGTGAATACGTGTGATACGAGTGTGATTATGAATATTTGATTGATATTTAACGTAATTAGTTATCAGGCTAAGTTCCAAGTTTACCTTAAATGCTTTTTGTTTTACAATAGCAGGCGTAGAAGTACAAAATGCCGACTTGTCACACAAACGCTAGTCACGGAGAGTCGCGATGATTGAATGCAATGGAGTAGCGGTAGGGTAACTGAGGGTAACGCGAGAGGGGGTATCACCGTGTCCGCATTTTGAGTGGAACCCGTTTGCTGACCTCTACGTGCACGGTTCGTACACGTTGAACTACGTAGTCACGGACACTTCCGGTGGATAACACATCCACGATTTTGTTTTGTGTATGCGTAATGCGTATGTATCAGCTGACACGTGCTCATGAAAAGCATCGTCCGGGCAATAAGCAGTGGCGATTTTGTTAAAAATGACGACACGCATTAATTCGCAGAAATTAAAAGTAATTATAAAAGAGCAAAACTGGGATGAATTATTGCAAAATGTCAAACCGAGGCATTTTGTCGGGCAGGAGTCAGAGTAAGTGTGAAACAGCAAAATGTTTGCAGGTTGTCATTTGACAGATAATTGTATAAGATAATTATTACACGTGTTTCAGGACGATGCCGGACGCAAGTATCTTAGCACAGATGTGTCGAGTACTCGTGAGCGAAAACGCTCCTGATGCGATTGTAATTTTATGCCTGAAATGCTTGGGGAACTCTTGTCTCGACAGTTACAAATACAAACGGCATACGATAAAAAACGTAGAATCCGTTAGATACGGCAAAGATTTGTACAATGAATTGGTCGAGAATGATTTATGCAAACGAGGAGAGAACTGCGATTATCCGCACGATTCGCACTTTCCTTACGACGGAGTCGTAGAATGGACTGTAGATTGCATTAAGATACGTGGGAAGTCTGTGTTCCGCTTGCTCGACAACGAATTGGACATCCTTAGGCTCAGCATCCAATTTTTATGTAATTTATTTACGTACGCGTGTCCGGATGTTACATCCGCAGACAATGACATTCTGAGATATTTAAATTGTGATAATAACTTGCAACAAGCTATTCTGTAAGTTTATATATAATTACATTCATAAATCTTAATAGCTCTTTATAATTTAAATTATGATAACTTGAAACAAGCTATTCTATTTATATATAATTACATATTTATAATATATAATTACAAGTTTATAATATATAGTTTTACATATATAAATCTTAATAATTACATATATAAATCTTAATAGTTCTTTTTATAATTTTCGTTTATGTTATTTGTTGAAAATAAAAAGATTGTTTTAATTATTTTTAGGAGTTGCATGCAGTCTGATCACAGACCCCTCGCCAATGCAGCTTGCATATACGTGCACAACGCGTTAAATAAATTAAGTCACAGCTATTTCACACTGGAGAAGAGAGATCTAGGTTTACAGTTGTTAAAACCTGCCAAGGAAGATTTTACATCCGCAAAGGATGCGCTGTTACTTCTGTTACGCCAACCAAATGTATTTGAGGATACTTATGACAGTGCGGCTGTCAGCGAGAAGTTAGATTTACTTGAAATTATCCACAATGAAATCTGGAAGTCCTGGCAATCCGATCTGAATACGGTGCTCACAAAGGATCAGGCGGAATTTCTAGCGTTAACATTTTGCAAAAAGAGTGATCTCATTTTAAAGACCGCGGACACGTATGTGAATAGCATAGATCCTACGGAAATTATTCTTATTCTTAATATTCTGGGGCTTCTTACTGCGCAAAACATGATCTCTGAAAATGTCAGGTGTTTGCTTATTAACTGTAAATGTAAGTACACCAGTTTCTAGTACAATTTCATTAGGCGTGAAGTAAAGATGATATAATTGTATTATATTTATAGATCTCTTGATGTCGTTACATATGATGGGAAAGGAAGCAGACAATTATTTTACTCCAATAACAAATTTAAGTAAAGTGGCACCCAATGCACAAAATAGAGCTGTAAATATATGCTCAAGTACAAATGGTACCGAGGCAACCGGAACAACGGCAGCAAACTGCGATCCACAGGAGCATCCTGCATATGGCTTTAAAGCGGGACTGACACAAGTCATTGCAAATGTGGTACATAAAAATAAAATGTGTCAAGATCTGGTAAGTGCAATTACATGAAAAATTTTATATCAGTATTTTATACATAAAAAAAGGGAAAAGTAAAATTTACAAAATTTATCTGGCGTCGATAAGGAACATTCCTTATGTGTTTTATTCGGGCATTTCGGGCCGTTAAAGCGCGCCTCATAATGGTCTCGAGAAGAATTAAAACATCACGTTTTGAGCAGGTGGCAATCGATATACGTGTAATAAAAAAATAGAAAACAAACAATAAAAATAGAAAATATAACAAAAAGATGCATGCATATATATCTAATTACTATTAATATTAATATTACTATTTCACGATAAATTCTTTAAATAATATTTTAGTTTAAATTAAATTTAAATTTATTTTAATAAGAAATTCGTAACTGTTTATTTTTCATTCTTTTTTAATCGCAATTTTAAATTCTTTCTTTTTATCGTAAATTTAATTAACGCGTATTGGATTGCATTATTATTTTATACAGAGCGTTTATCCTCTCGATTTTTTAATTTAAAACTTTTATTTATAATAATTATTACAATATAAATGCGTATTTTTTTTAACTTCTTATTTTATCTACAAAATAATTAATTTTTATTTAAAAAATGTTTGAAGTTTGAGAAAAACGCAAGTGTTTTAGTAAAAGTCCTGTATGTTGTTCAGCTGTATGTTGCGAAACCACTCGGGGTATCTTAAGCTTCACACGAAGAAAAAGAATGGCCGGAGCGCGCTCGTTGCTGCCGTCCGACTGTGAGTTCCGGCCACACAGAACGCTCGCGTCGCGTTGTTCCGCACCCAAGGGATTAAAATTATACCTCCATGAATGATGATAGGTTATTTTCAAGCGTAGAGAACCTTGACAGTTGCAAAATATAAATTTGGCTTTTTGTTAGCGCGCCACGGTTGTGCGCTACGCATGTACCGGTAAATCGATATTTCTCTCCCGCCCGATTACATCTCGCGTGGTGCGGATGATACGGAATACGCGAACAAAAGATACGCAATAGCACCGCGGCCTGTCGTGTCGGACAAAGCGAAATTAAGTGTTCCATCTGAGCTGGGAGATGTAGCAAGACGATCGAAATCTGATATACGCGCTGCGAATTTAGCGGATCTGCGAGATGACAAAGTTCGCGTCGCATGCGTATTGACAGATAAATTAGTTATGATGAATCAGAGCGGAAACGAGAGAGAGAGAGAGAGAGAGAGAGAGAGAGAGAGAGAGAGAGAGAGAGAGAGAGCGCCTGCGGGCGGAATATTAATTCTGTGCTCCTAGCGTCAAGGATGACATGTACATTGCCGTAGTCAGTAGGATAGATAGTAGGACGCAGATAATTTTTTGTCGATCATCAATTATAACAAATCTCTTGTTGGTACGGAAATAGTAACGTTATGCATCGCGTTCGATCGTTCGTGCGGACAAAAGTCGCTCTTCGTGAGCTACTTCGAGAAGTTTTAAATAAAAAAAAATAAAAAAAAATATATATATATAAAACGATATAATATACGATTTCAGTTTCGCGAGATCGATGGAATCCCATTGCTTCTGGATTGTTGCAACATAGACGCGAGGAATCCGCGTAAGTGTAATTGAATTTCACGTTTTTCTTTTTTTTTTTTTTTTTACTTTTGTTTGCTTTTTCTGCTTGCTATTCTATTGACAATTTCTACGCAGTTATCTTGCAATGGACCATTCTCGCTTTGAGAAATCTGTGCGAGGGAAATCCTGAGAATCAAGAGATCATTAGGAGTTGCGAAAAAACGGGCGTGCCGGATAATCCGGCGCTGCAAGAGATGGGACTGACTCTGCACGAGGACGCGGACGGGAAGTCGATTCGTATCGCTCCTCTGCGTCGCAATTAGGAAGATTTATCTGTTTCCTAGGACGCGAGATATCGCCCCGCGGCGATCGATCGGTCCGATAATTATCAAACTATTACTTGTTTGTATCGATAATATCCCCGATAAGATGCAATGATTGGTTTATCTTGGTATGCATAAATAATTACATTATTCCAATTAGTCGGACTGAAATGTATCCTGCTGTACCACTCGCGAAAAAAAAAGCACCGCAATTACAACGGATCGTGCCATTAGACGAAATACGATGTGGTACGGGCACCGAGAGAAAAGAGATATTTTATCTACCATTCATGGCCGAGTGATTTACGATACAATAAAAGCTGCCGCGAGAGTTCACGGTCTATTAGTAATTGCTAATGTAAGTATATACAACTGCTATCGTTGATCATTCAATTGCAACGCGAAATGGATTTCGTTTTCCTTTTTAACGATGAACCCTCATCAAGATTTCATTAAATGCTCACGGAGGACGATGATAATTTTTTAGGCGGCGTTCTGCAAATCAAATAAATAAATAAATTATAGCAATAAATAAAGTGTCTATACACGTCCATGCCCGTTTTTCCCCGCCCTCTCGCGAAATTGCTCAAGAGACGAAGAGACTAGTGGAGATTCCTGTTTAAGAATTATAGAACCTCCAATTATGCTGTCAGGAGGACGCAGTGTTTTAATAAATAATTTCTCTATTAATTAATTGCGCGCATCTCAATTCCCCCTCCACCCCCCGCTCCCTCCTCCCTTGTCCCCGCGATTCCCGTTTTAAGACGATAATTTCTCACGTCCGCGGCCGTTTCTCATCCGCGTACAATTTTACGATGAGGCACGGCGACGACGGTCGTCCTGCGCGTAATAGGTGTTTATTAATGTCATCCGCGAGGCGCGGGCAAGGAGCGGGCGAGCGAGAGAGGAATCGCGCGCGTGGTGGGTGAGAAATCCGCCTGCGCGTACCAACTTGTTGTGCGTTAATTATACCGGAAGTTTCGAAATATACACACAGGGAGAGAGACAGTTACGTTTTCCTTTCTAATGGAATTCTCTTCGGACGGTAAACCGCGCGATTTCCAGCGTCTCGCGGGATCGGCTATAGTATAATATCGATAAATAAATAATATTAAGATAATTATCTCTCTCTTTCTCTCTCTCTCTCTCTCTCTCTCTCTCTCTCTCTCTCTCTCTCTCTCTCTCCCTCTCGTAGAACATGCGCTGCGCACGTTCTACTTAGCCGTGATACGCGACGGCATGCGCCGTCTCTGGAAGGATTTACGAAATGTAATAATAGGTTTCCGGACGTAATATGCGATCTAATCGAGCATGACCAATCGCTGATTTACGGCGCGGTTTCAATGAAGAATAAAAATTACGGATAGTTGTGGCCGCGTATATACACAAGAGTCTTACTTTTCTCCCATAAATACACGATCGAGTGACACTCGCCACGCAGATATTAAACGTTGCGTTAATCCCTCTCTTTATTAAGTTTCCCCGTTGCAACAAAGGACGATAGATTTGTTATCGCGCGAATTTATGTTGCTCCTTTTCGAGATATTTTCACAAGCGAGCCAACTCCTCGACAAAATACCTCACGTTTGCACGTTTCGCGTATGAAAGTAGACGGGTATACCGTCGGTACGCGTCGCGCGTACGAACGTTCCGTAAATTGCTTTTGATTTAAATATCGGCCCATCTCGCGTACGATCAATCTCGGATCGTTGCGTAATGGCGAGCAGTTAACGCATCAATTTATCAGTTAATTACATACGCGGTTAATTGCCACGAGCAATTATTTCCGCGCAAGAGAAGCGGCTCTCCGTACGCACCTCGTACACAACTTGCACACGCGGCAAGAGACCGCGCGTTCGAGGAAGCGAGATGAAATTCCTGCCACGTGAGCCACTTTGATCGCGCGGTCAATGTATCGATAGAAGTGGCTCCTCGTGATCTTGTTGAGAAGAATACGGGCATCCAGAAACCAAAACACAACAGCGTATAGGAAAAGACGTTAAGAATACAGAGGTTCGACCATAGCGAACTCTTTTTCAAGCCTCTCCAAATTCTATTGATCCATTTATATTTTTGTATCTATTTTTAGCCCCCTCAATCCCCATTCTATTTCTTTAATGGCGTATACAAAGTGAAATGTCATTTTAGTTACGCTAGCAACGATATCTTTATTCTTATTCGTCAAATAGGGATTGAGGGAGCTAAAAATAAAGAGATTGATGCCAAAAATAGAAGGTTTAATCGTATGTGAGAGAAAATTTTATCATTTCATTTTTTTGTGATTACAAAACTTTGCAACAAGACCAGATCCGGGTATGAAGGAACCGCCTACTTGTAAGAATCGATCGGAGTAATTAATCGAATTCGAGATGCAATGCTGCGTCCCCCGTAAAAGAAATATCTTCCAGCGCGTTGAGGATTTCGTCGATCCGCCGACCTTATTAATATTCATAGACGCTGACGAGGGAAGCGTAAAAAGCGCTTGGTCGTGCGTGAGATCGCTCAGGTGCGTAAATTCTGATCGGCTCCTTGATAATCAACTCGTTGACGCAATAAATTCCGGCAAAAGATAGTCGAATAGAAAGAGAGGGAGAAACTGAGAGCGGAGCATGGAGCCCAACTTTAGATAATGTCTTCTGTTTGTTCCCAATTATACTTGTATTTCGAGTTATACGAATCGTTTATCATAATTTTCGATTTAAAAAATAATAAGGATTCGACGTGGATTGGGGAAATTGTCTTTCCTCTTTCGCCTCTTTATTAGAGCCTCAGAAATGCTAAGAAATTTTTCTAGTCGACATTTTCAAGATGATTTACGTAACATTTTAAATTAGTATCTGAATAAGTTTATACAAACATGCAAATATTATGTAAAAGTATAAAATTAAAGTGAGTTTCCTGTTTGTATTTTTATCTAACTTGAAAATATACTTATTTTGTTATAGCATTCAGTCTCTTATAACACTCTAGATATTTGATCTCTTAGATGTTCTATTTAAAAAATTGAAACGAGACTGTTATAATATAATTAAGCTTCTTTCGCAATTTATTTTCTTTAAAGATAACATCAAATTCTTCCTCTTTATTCTTAATTAAAAGATCAATTTTCTCTAAAAATTTTTATTGTCAATTTTTTACTATTATAAATAAATTGGGTTCTTTTTAAATTAAGATTCTTCTTTGGTCGTGAAATACGCTACTATAGAAAAAAATGCAGGAGATCGACAATGAGAGGAAAAATTTGAGAAAATATTCAATCGATAATCTGATACAAAATAATACATAGGAAATTGAGTATACATTGCAGCTTTGATAATCTGATACAAAATAATACATAGGAAATTGAGTATACATTGCAGCTTGTCCCGATTCTTTACTTGCAGCACTCACCCTTTCTTATATAAAGTCTTATGTAAATTTAAGACAAAAGACGAAAGCTGCAATGGCGTGATGGATAGATCGATGGTAGATACTCGGGATAGATAATCGGTCCAGCAAACGAACTAGATTCTCGTATTAATAGAGGCCGCAAATTGATCCGGCGTCGGCGCCTAATAAGTCGCGGATTCTCTCCGCGATATCGGGGCCTGAACGGGGCCTCGCGCGCGCCTACGCGTGATTTCTCTCAAAGAACCCCGACACGACGATATATTTCCTATGCCCTCGTATACTTTACATACATCTTATCCGCTGCGCTTTTGTACGAAAGAGTCGAATCGAACGTAAAGGGTCATGCACAACGCGTCGTCGAAGAACGGGGCCGAGATCTTTTCTAAAACTTCCAGGTAATGCCGTAAAAGAGATTACTCGAGACTAATCCAAGTTGAGCTCTGAAAGAGCGTCGGTTCGATCGGCTTTTCCGTTGAAACGTATTTTTATGTCAAGAGAGTTTGACATTTATTCTAACGACGGTGACGCCGAAATGTATAAGATATATTATTGTTCAAAAAGATCCCAGGAGGAAGGATCGCGCAGGAAAATGACAACGCGTATAGGTATAGTTAATTATAAAGAGGACTCGCGCGCACCGAGAGCATGCAGACCGCGCGATATGTTTTAACGACTGCCGCACACGCGGTGCGTAAGCCGTAAATGTTACGCCGAGCCAGAGATTCGTGTAATAGCCACTAAAAGCGAGTTTCGTCCCTTTATGGATCGTAAAGGCAGGGATATTTGGAACGGGGGAAACCACCGCTTAAATTGACCCGACTCGCAGTTAACTAAAAGAGCGTGAGGCACGATCGCGTCGTAGGTATACCGGAATAATCCCCCAAGAGAACTCCATTGTCAGCATCGATGATTTCCTCTTAGCGAATGGGATCTTAAATCCTTCACAACGTCATGCGAAACATATACGTTTATAGACTATTATAAAGAAAAAAATATAATAATTATCAACCATGGAATCGTTGGACCAAATAAATATAAATTTATATGAATTATATAATTTATATAGAGATAAAAATTTAATTAAAAGATATCTAGAAGATATCTGAAGAATGTTTGAAATATTTGTAACAATGTTATATAACACCCCATTGTCAGCACGACGATTTTCTTTTAGCGAATGGGATCTTAAATCCTTCACATCATGCGAAACATATACGTTTACAGATTATTATAAAGAGAAAAATATAATAATTAATTATCAGCCTTGGAATCGTTGGACTAAATAATATAAATATAAATTTATATAAATTATATAATTTATAGAGATAAACATTTAAAAGATATTTGGAAGATATCTGAAGAATGGTTGAAATAAGTATTTGTAACAATGTTACCCGCGCTAATTAATTACGCGATTCGCTTTCAGTCACGTTTCGGTTTACCCCGCGGGTAAATTAATTCCCGATATATTCGAAATTCGAATATATACACGCGTGCATTGTCCGAGCGATGAAAAGTCCGCTCTAATTACCCCGTGTAAACGGAGCCGCGCGTCGATTTCTCGAGAGACGGGCGCGACGTCGCTCGTAAACAATGACAATAGGGCCTGCCGTCCGCGAGCGGATGCTGCTGCCGATGTCAGAGCGGCCCTCATGATGGCCGCCTGCGATCCTCTGGCCCGTCCGTCGAGTTAATTAATCGCACCGAACGATCTCCATTGAAATGGAATCTGGATAAATTTTCCCGTGCTGATGTGCCGCCGGGCTAGCATGTGGGTATTATCTTTACGACCTCTTCAAAGAGGAGATGAGACGTCGGGGCGGCGGTGAGGGGCTGGGGGACGCATGCGCGCGCGATACGGCCGCAGCCGCTGGAAACGGTGCACCGAAACCGGAGAACCTGTTATCAGAGAAACAGTGGCCTGGGACTTGGTCCAATTATCACGCAGGCGAGACACACCGAGGCCTCGTTCGCGAGACGCGTCGTCCTCGTCGCTCTTAATTCCGACTCGCTGGAGAACCAGCGTCGCTGCGCGCGTGGCGTTCACCACCATGCCGAATCCTCGCGAACGTGCCGTTCCGAATTCGGAGAGATTTTCGTTAAGACAGAATTAGCTGGAAACTATGATCGTTCATGCGGTCGATCTAATTCATGTCGACGGATCTCCCTCCACGTCCTCCATCTATACGTTACACGGTGTGGACAGAAATAATAGCTAACGTGACGACGCGTTTTGCGCGTAACGTGTATACTCGATACGCAGTGTTTTAGCCGTCTGCTGAGCGGTAAAAGTGTCGAGATATACGTTAAAGACAGCGAGCTCGACGCGAAATTAAATGCGGACGCAAGTCATCCGAGAATGACTCCGAGAAAATGCGTCTCGCCGTCGTTTCTTGGCAACGCGGATAGGGATTATAGCGTGACGTGTCGAAGGTATTACATGTCGATCGAGTGGGACACGAATACACCTCACTGCCACCTCTATACACCTTCGGAAAACTTTCGAGCCGCTCGACATTCGTGTGACGTATGACTGTGGAGAAGACGCGATGCACACAGGTGATACTGTTCGAGGTGAAAGCGCCGCCGACGTTATTATCAGACGAGACCAAGTGGCCCAATTTGTACCGCGCCGTTAAGGAGCGACGGAGATGATTTATGGAAACGGTAGACGCGCTAATTGCCTGCCGATGTGATTCATCGGGCGGTGTCGTTACACATCCGAGAGCACGTCGGTCGCTTTGTGAAGGAAGCGGCCTAAAAATAATCTCAGCATCTCTCGATCGCGATGGTGTGTGCGGCAGTCGCTTAATTATAACGATACGGCATAATGAGGGAGATTCGATGCTTGCTCCTGAGGTAAGATCAACCATGTTTCTAAAATGCAATTTCGTATACGTGTGTTCGATTACGCATCGAGCGATATTACATGTGTTTACTTATCATATTTATTATATTTATATCAATTTTGTTTATTTATATTTATAGAAATTAATTTATTCAGAACTAGCCTCCCAATGTTACATTGCATGTATATATTTATTATAAAATTATTAAACGATCTCGCGTCGTAGAGTCGCTCAATATACTCGCGAAGGTATAGCCAGAAACGCGCTATCGCGTGCGAGTGCTCTCCGGTTCTCTGAAAAGCGTTAAATCAGTTATCTCGAATGTTCGCCCGGCGTTTCCTCGCGCGCCTTGCTTTCGACACCGTCATTTTCTCCCGTTCTCACGATCTTTTCGCGTCTTCGCGCTCGTGTTGTTCCTCTTTCGATTTCACTCACGTCGTTTACCGTCTCCATCGTGTGGCGGCTCTTAAAATCATGTATTTCCGTGGCGGGGTAGGCCGGGATCTCTTTTTTTTTCTCTCCGTTCCCCGAGAGAGTCTCGTTTCGCCGTCTCTCTACCGCCGGTTCTCTTTCCTCTCGCGCGCGCGCGCGCGCTTCTCTCCCTCATCCCGTTCCTCTCCCTTCCACTCGAGAGTCCCGGTGTAACAATGGCTGCCCTCTAATTATCGGAAGACCGCGGCACTTTAAAAAGATCCCGGGAGAGCCCATCACGGGATTCCGTTTCGTTCGCTCCTTAAAATTTCTCTCCCGCCCGCCCTTCCTTCCTTCCGTCTTTCCTTCCTTACGCTCGCCTTCTCTTTCTCCGGGCGGCGTCCGAGACGTCGGTAACAAAAACAATCAACGTGTGGCGATCGTTGCTCGGTGGAAAATTAGTTTCGTCTCGCGAGAGCACCTACCGCGAATTCGCAATAGCCGTTGGGTCCTTCGTCGGGACTCTTTACTGGACCTTCAGAGGCTTTGTGAGAAAATGATGAAAATAATCATAAGATTCATATCTTTCCAGTAATTAATTAGGGTAATTAATTTAAGACTCATGCCTTCATCACTTTATCTCTTACCATAAATATGTCAGTTTGCAGAGCATAGTAATTTCTGTTGCATTATTATAAGGATACTCGCTCGACGATTGCTCATTATTATAAAATGTAACTTCCTGATCACTTTAAAACGTTCACGTAGACGTGCATATACATAGGTATATATATATATTTTACTCAAGCTTTCTAGTATCGGTCTCGGCCGGGCATAAGACGTTCTCGAGTTGCGCCCAGCGCGGCCGAGTGCGCGGGATCATGACGGCGCTTTCCGGTCCGGCCGAGAAAGATCGTAGAAGGGAGAAAAGCCACGCCAATAAAGAGAAAATAGCGGCCGTACGACGAGAAGCGCGAGTCGGAATGGGCGTAACCCAAGGCGAGCTCGTGAGGCTCGTACCTGTTGCTCGTTGCTTCCTATTAAATACTCTCAAGCCGACCCACGCTAGAAAGGAGTCGCTCACGTCTGCGTTAGTAACCAATGACTAAGAGCGAGGAATAGTTTTTTTTTTCCTTTCCACCCTTTCCACACGACGCGGTTCTTTCTCTTCCTCGTTCGGTTCCTTCTTCGGGGAATCGCCCGATTCGATCTCTTCCAAAAGCGACGCGCGCGCGTGCGCGCGCTTAGAACCGGACGCACGTGCGCTGCACGTAACGTCGACAACGCGATTGCGCGCCTTTCCGTATGGGAAACTCTTAAAAATCCACGCTTTCTCGTAGATTCCGCCATCGGTTGATTTATGAGACCGCGGCAGGGAGGTGGAAGATTTCTAATCGCGAAACTCTCACGGTAACGCTTCCGAGATTGAACTTCGAGATACGATTTATAATGTCTTCTTTAATAAAAATACAAGGCCGAATCTTTTGTCGCTATTAGTCGCAAACCCTTTTTACAGTAAACGTCTCAATCAGTTTTTTTGTTAGGCGTTTTTTTTTCTTTCGTTACATCCTATAGACACACGGCTGTTCACCCCGTTTTCGTTCGAATTTCGTCGCTTCCCCTATGCTTCTTGTCGCCCCATTTTTCTTTGGTGATATCTCTTTGTGCACTTCTATTAGCGGTTTGTATTTCGAGCAGATGTTTGCCGGGTACAATGTCTTTCTACATGCTAGCCAGTTTAGGCCTCCCGGCGGCATTGTATCCGCCGAGATATAAAAGATTGGGGTAGGCCCTTTTCGGGGCCTTAACAACGACACCGCGAAGGAAACGTGTTTACTCTGTTCGGGACGGGCCGCTATCTTAAGAGGATACAAGCGAGTCGAGAAATTTTCTGGAGAAGAGATCCTCGAAACGAAAAGCGTTGATGACGCTGCGTTCTTTATAAATTTGCACACAAAATAAGAAAATATTTAAGGTATCTTATTTCACAGTTGACTTTACCTAGATTTAGGACTTGTGGATTTTCGATGAACCTATAACAACTCAGAGGATGCCGTGAACCGTTTCGTCTTAATAATTTCGAGTATTTGTACCTTCGTATTTCCGACCGTCGATCGTCCGACTAATAATGGAGTCATAAACGATCTGACACGGACCGTAGGGTTCCTAGCATTATACAGCTCGAATTAGGGACTCCCAGATAATTTATTTAAGAGCGGGACTAAGAAAATCCTTGAACCTCGCCGCAGGTGTAGCTTGAATATTATGGTGATAATGAGAACAGGGTGTTGCTTTGTAAACTGCGGTATTGAGGGGCAAAAAATATACGACACCGACGTGCAAATGACTAAATAATTTCTATAAGAATTATTAAAAAAATCTTTTTGTACATTTTTACCATCGATTTACTGGAAATTGTCTTCAGTGCAATGTTTCACGCGTCCGTGGAATCTTATACAATCCACGGAACATCCTGTAAGATCGTAAGATTCGCGGCAACATATCGTTGCGACATCGGCGACAGCGTTATTATACGTCACATTGCCCATAAAGAGCATCGATAATTAAACGGTGTTATAAATTACCACCGTTATATCGTAAAGCTAATGATGTTCCGTTAAAGCGCTACAGCGTGAAAACTGCGCGCTCGAAATTCACGGTAGGCTGTAAACATTTTTACGGTGCTCGTCCGTTACCCGCCCTGAGAGAACCGCCCGATCGCGACGACGGAAAAACGCGAGAAGTCGCGAGAGCCGACGGTAGCGAATGAGATAACAATATATAAAATGAGGATTCACAATGAACGCGCAATGCTGACTCTTTCGCTCGTGTTTTTTGTACATACCTATAATATCCTGTGCGCAATTATAAATCATTATGACCCAGTGTAGCTTCCGGTACGTTCACCATTGTCGCCCCTCGATTATAAAATTATTATACGTAAAATTATAATTATTATCGGCAGGCAATTCTATAGAACGATTTACACGCATTCATAGGAAACAAATGCAATCCTACGTGTACGAGTCTCCTTTTTTTGTTAGTCGCCTATCGAATGCTCTGCTCAGCCAGACATGTTTCCTGTCGTTTGTCCGGCTCGCACGAATAAAGTGATAGAGCGTTATTGTCACAAATCGCGTCGTTCGCTAGCAACAACCTCGCATTTATATATACCACGCTCCAATTTTTACAATAACATGTGATTTCAAAGTTTCCTATAGGAAACGGAAAAGAGAGGTAAGGAGTCGAGATCTATATGCATGACTGGCACACTGAGAGAAAAGATATACTAATGGTAACAAAAACAGAGAATTATTCACAAAAGTCAAGTTTTATTCTAAAATTTTGTTAAAATAGCAAAATATATAATTAAATAAGCAAAATTTGGTATAATTTTTGATTTAACAACACAATTTTATTTGGTTACTCACATTTTGTACACAGTAATATAAAATTGGGTTGCAATTACAAAATAAGTTTTCTTTTAGTAAGTTCAACAAAATAATGTAATTATTTTGGTAATTTTATTCAATAAATTCGACGAATTAATATCGACGTGTTAGTTTAGTTA